ATTCGAACAGCTTCATTTCGGGCGACACCCCACGGAAAAACAAGGTCATTAATGGCGCCTGAAATGTCTACGGCATGCGTGATCAGTAATTCGCATTCTACTACTCCATCAAATTTTATATCAGACAAAATATCATTATGAATTATTAGTACCAGTTAATCGGTAGTTAACATAGAAACTAGCTATTTCACAGATGAATGATGCTTCTTATTGATGTGACAAGTATAGTATTGGTTTTTGCAGACATATTGCTAGTGACACTTTCCTCGTCAAATTTAAATATCACCTCAATCTTTAATTTATGGAGGCTTCTATGATTACCTTACAGATGTGTAAGGAATATTTATATATCTTCCGAACAATACTTTAAAAATAATATACGTTAATTTAGATTATCTTTATCCGAGCAGGCTTTATCCGAACGGCAAGAAGAGTAAAGTGGTGTTGTGGATCTTTTTTATTATAGTATTTTGTTTAAATCAATATTTAACTCGAAATATTCTTACTAAACTAATGCCTTATTATTCAATATAACTTTTAACAGTGTCGTACCGAACATATTCGTCTGAAATCTAAATAATAAACGTTTAAAATGCTTTATGAAGTCAATAAAAAAGCCATTATTAAAGGATATCACAAATTTCCTTCTCATGACTTTAGTGCCACCCAAATTAAACAAAATATTTTAATTATTTTACAAATTCTTGAATGTGTGTTTGGCAAAAAATTATTTCAAAATCAAATTGGAATGAAATATTCACAGAACTATGTTGTTAAGGACTGATTTATTGTGATTACTTTCTTTCCTTATCAATGTAGATAGTATTTACGTCTCTACCATCATTCTTAAAATACGATACACTCACCTCAAAATGGTGATTATGCGTTTATCTCAAGAAATGGAAAGTTAGTTCAGATTGAAAAACATTTTCAATAATATTTTTTTCCGTTCTCTGAATCATTATCAGAGGAGTATTAAATGAAATCCTATTGCAATAAATCTAATATTTTAACGAAAAGAATATTCAATAAATATAGTTTAGTTTGTATACAGTACAACAGTACTTTACATACCAAGAATATCAACAAAAGTTTCAGTTCCATAAAGCAACGCATGCATAGCAAATATTTAACGGCGGACGGCACTTTCCCTACGACCCTTTGCTGACGTCACCTGTATCATCAACACTGACAGACTGAGTATTTCGGTACACTCAGAATAATATTAGACGAAATTACACTATGAAATATTTGTATTTTTCAGCCCAAATCGAAAGTTTCTTTATTTTTGAATTTTCACCAAGTTCCTGGGTAAAACTAACCGTGGACACCTCTCACATTACCGAAGGCTGAACAGTTTTCTTACAATTATTTCTGCGAGTATTGAAAGTTAGGATAAACAGAATAATTCGGGGAAATTTCCTTATCATTAAAATGGTAGTGGCGGTGATAGCAGCAGTAATTGTCTTCAAGGCTGTAACATTTTGGAGGCCCCGTGTCGTTGAGTGGCGAGGCGAGTGCGGCGCGGGCGTCGGGTCGAGTCGGGCTGACGCGGGCAGAGCCGGGCCGGCCTCGCGGCGGGGCGCGCCGCGCCAGGGCTCCGGCCATCGCGCATGCAGCGGGCGTCGCGGCGCCGGGCGTCGCGGCGCCGAGCGACGCGAGGCCGCCCGGCTTGCGTGCGGGAGTCGTACGTGAGAACGGGAGCGCGTGACGAACGGGGTCGCCGGGCGCTGGCCGGCGCGCCTCCGCGCTTCGGCGTGGCCTGAGAACGCCGCCCGGGCCCGGGCCAGGGGCCGCGGCCGACAGCGAAAGTTACCACGCACGCCCTGGAATGCGTCTCAGCCCAGAGGAGATGAATGCTGACATTGAGGGGAGTGCTTTTAGACCCGCGCTAGTTTGGGAATAAGGACCAGGTGAAAGTACGATTCAAGTAGGATTGGCTGGTCCCAGTCTTCTTAATTTCCTGCCGCGTTTCTTTATATATTGTAATTACAAATATAAGAATTTCAAGCTTTATATCAAAACGAAGAGAATCGAGATTGACCATCAATATTCATCAATTCTATTTCTCGTTTGTAGCAACACATTCATCACTAAGTGATAAATAAACACACTCTCTAAACAATAATTGATACATCAACCGTTATTGTGAATTATGGGAACGAATTTTATAGACAGAAATGATCCTTCGAATGGCCATAAAAATCTAGAAATATGGTATTATCTGCGACTAAGATTTTTTCTACCTTCACTAAAAACGTACTTTAATGATGTCTTTGGCACTCCTTTGCCTATTGTATAAGTCGAGCAAAACCATTAACGATCCTGACAAATTATTCAATCTGAAGACAATTTTCTAATGACTCATCTGACAAAATGTAGGTAAACCAATGGCCCTCATGATCATTGTACGTCACTCATGATCATTGTGTTATCAACATCTAGACCAATGTGATTTCTGAATTTCAAACTAACACTGGGAAAATAATAAATAATATTTGTACATTGACACAAATCCAAATGCAGCATTACAAGCTTGACAGGAAGTAGTGAAGAATAAAGAGAAACAAACAAAATGTTCTTCTAATAAGAAAATATGAATAAATGAATTAATTTCGTATCGTTACAAGGAAACATTGATTTTCATCTACTAATGTAAATGTCTTGGCTATTGTATTCCACTTTCGAGGGGAAAAACCTACAAGCGGCACTTCTCTGTGTTCTACTGCAAGTCGTTTCCAAGACGTTATGTTAATGTTTCTTAATTTATGCCCCAACTGCCCGTTCCCTTAAACTACTTAAAACCATTTCCACTGAAGACCGACCACTTCTAGATGATCCCGAAGTACAAACTTATCAGAAACAACGCGTACCCTGCTCCGCCCGCCCGCGTCAACCGGATATTAAACAGCTGCGAAGTACAGTGGAGATGCATAGGTCGCTCCCAGATAACCTCGAGCGCGCTATGGCTTCGCTCGCGCCTCAGTTCTGACGCCCCCGCGCGCCGCCCGCAGCCGCCACCCTCGCCGCCGCCCTCCGCCACACTTGAGCCACGGGTCCCCGTGTTTACAACGGCCGCTCCAACGCCCTCTGAACGCACGCGGGTGTTTTGTGAGCGCGACTACGGCCCTCTGTCCTCCTCGCTCGTGTCCTCGTTCTCCCCGTCCTCTCTCGCCTCCCCCGCCCCTCACCCCTAGCCCTCCGCGAAACAAGTCGGGATTATCATTTAATACACGCGACCTTCGAATGCCTGAAAATGAACCCGTTGCACAATTTTGTTTTTCTCTCGCAAGAGCGAGCGTCTATTTACCATTTTTATGCAAAAATCACGTCGTTGCCACGTGTAATACATGCAAAACGGATTTTTCACGGATGTAATTACCAGTCATTTTCGTAACTTACCAAAGCTGGCGTGTAGTTCTCCATGTTTAAGTCCGTTGGACAACCATGCGAGTAATTCGCTGCTCTTGGAAGGAAATTTTGAAATTTATATCTAATATATTCCATCGCTTAATTCAACGACACTAACGTTTTTCTTCAGTGTTTTCAAACCAAGTGTTCTCTTATTATGCTTACCGAGGTTAACAGTTTTAAGTTCCGTTCGTTTGACTTGTCGAGAAATCGAATATCAATATTTATTGAATTTTCATCACTTCACGCCAACCTTAGATTTATAAACCTTGTTCACACTCATAAACATGTTAGACGTGGACGCATTCCTTCGTCAGAAAATAAACACTGGTATAGATAATTTTTGTGTAGAAATATGTGGCAGTTTGTAAAAGTTTTCTACCTTTTCAGTCACGGATTTCATCTACTAGTACAATACAGTGCAGATGATTCATAATTTGTGGTCTTATAGAATTGGGACATAAATATAGTTTAATTTCCTAACAGACGAGTGCATATATTTCTGGAGGGTTATTTTTCTACCTATCCATTTCTAACAGTAAACTTTAACATCTTAACTTTTTATTTACCACGATTTTTACAACCATCTACCACAAAAACGAACTGCGAAAGTCCACTGCACAGAGGTATTTTACACTCGGCAAACAGCAATGTTCCAAATAAATATTTTGAACCTCGCAGATATAAACGACTCACAACTGCCGTTATCATTCATCGTGCTAGCATACTTTCTCCAGAGACCAGTTATTTAACCTTGACCATAATTTATCTGCCCAGCTATCACTAATACACTACGACAACACGTTGCCAGCTGCAGTCAGATCAATCACACAGTAACATAACTCATCGCTGAGATTACAGAATTTATGCACACAGCACGAAATTGCGTCTGTGGTTTGTGACAACGCCGAAACGGCATTCAAGCAATACAAATTCCAAAACTATCCTGTGAAGGTAACAAAACAAACCAGTAATAAAAAATAGCAATACAGAAATTACTCGGCCTGCGCATTTGCTCAAACTTGCGCGTTTCTTCAGGTATTTTAAAGTATAATCCACATCATTCTATTACTGCATTTATAAAATATTCTACGTCATTACGATTATAAAATCGATTGAAGAGTTTTATTCATTTAAGCTTGCAACACATCCGAACAAACTACTAAATGTATTTTTAAATTAATGTACCTTTTTTTACATCATTTAAGTTACGTTATGCGCTTAACATGTTTTTTAACATTGATACATTGATATATTGATGCTACAAAATATTAATTTATCCACACATATTATACTAAGAAGAATAAATATCATTTACCGGGAAAACACTTTGTCTATATTTACTATCAACATGAAAAATTAAAACATTCACAAAATAAGATTCAGAGAAAACTGAATATTAATAAAAATGTTATATTTTCCACATCAAAACAGGTAAAATATAAGTCACTAATGCTGAATGTAATATCCGGTATAAAAATAAATATTTTTCGAACTATTACCACCCTTAATTGTATCATCCCACGTAACGAAAATTCAATGACTTGTAAATATCACTCACGTGGTAACAAAATGAGAAACGAGCCTACGGCGAACCCGAGCGCTGGGCAGTGGAGCTGTCGGCTGTCGCCCCGCGGGCCGGCGGGCTGAGTGGCGGCGCAGGGCCGGGCCGGGGCCGGGCCGTCGGCGGGCGAGGCGGCGGGCGTCGGCGGCACATCGCCCAGCGACTGGCGCGCGCCGCGGCGCTGCTCGGCGCCGGCCGCCCCGGCCCGGCCCGGCCCCGCGCCGCCGCGGCCGAGATGCTGCCGCCCGCGCCCAACCCTGCCTCTTTTACAGCCCCATAAACGCTACCCGATAAGCTCGTTAACACTTGTATAAAACAGCGCGTAAAACTGCTGCTTCTCTTTACTGAGCTGCCGCCGCTGCCGCCGCGGTACACCCCCTTCCCCGCCCCCCTTCCGCTTCCCAGGGAGGCGCGTGCCGTCTCCTTCGTACCGGGTGTCAATCTCCCGGAGCTCTCGACCATAACCCGTGCGTTTACGGTGACAAGTAACTGCCACTAAAATCAGCGTCGACAATCGGAGTGGCTTAAACGGCTCTTGAACCAGCGGCCTTAGAGGGGCCGAGAATTTATTAGTATGCTTGAATAGCAATAAAAATAACCCCTACACGCTCACAAACACACGTTCGTCCACAGAGTGCAAACATAAGAAAATAAATAATAATAATGATGAAAACAAAAAGAAAGCGATATTCGCACTCGCGTTGGCATTTACGGCCCGTTCCATTCACCCGGGAAGCACTTAAAATTTTATTGCGGTCGTCGAGGTTCTGGAATACGGCCCGAGGGGGCGTGCGGGGCGGGCACTGGGGCAAGTTTTCGAGACCCGCGGAGGACAGCGGCGGGGCATGGCAGGGCGGGTCGGGTCGGCGCGATCGTCCCGCGACCGACTGTCGCTGAAAGCTTTATAGGCGATAAATCGCGCGTATCTTCGCGGCGGGCAAGTGAACCGCGCGGGTGACTTATTAGGCGGGCTGGCGGCGCAGCGCGGGCCGGGCCGGCGCAGCTTGGCGCGGCGCGGGGCGGAGTTGGCCGCGGCCGGCCACGAAATGGCGGCAGAGGTGGAGCCCCGCCGGGTCGTTCGGGGCGCCGCCCGGCGCGGCTGGCGCCGCTCGCGTGCGCAAAGCCAAGAGCGCAGTGCATTTGCCTCATTGTAGGGGGCGCAGTTGTACGCGAAAATAAGCTGAAGAAACACACAAGAGCCGAGTGAGCGCTAAAATATAAAACATGCGTCCGAATATGTTTTCTGGATAAGGACAAAATGACTTTCAAACATGCAATAACTGGAGAGTAACTACTAAGAACTATGAAAATTGAGCCTGGATGTCATCAATTTAACAGTTATAATTGTATATTAATATTCATTTATAATAAATCCCACAAATCACAGGTACATATTACTTGATGCGGATTAAAGGAACTGCAACAGTTTTTTAGATATAAATAATATATTGCAGTGTAATATATAAATACTCAAATAAATTAGGAACAGTTGAAGAAATAATAGAACGGGTTTTGGAGAGCAAATTTTTGTGGTATTACGATGTATTGTATTTAGAGAAAAATACTTATTTAATACTTTTACTCGAATTAACTTATCGATAATTTAAATTTACTTATAAAATAAAAGATATCAAGAACAGTAAACGATTAAGTCAAATAAACTTAATCAATTTAATAAAATATATTATTCAATAGTCAACGATTTTAAATATTGATATCCTTCAAACGAATGATTCATTTCTCTAAGTGTGTATAATTACTTGGAAAGCTAGCTATTTAAAAACCATTTTAGGGAAAATGCAAATCTCTGATTTCATCACTTTATCCGGTCATAAATAACATTATTTTTTTCCCCAGAAAACAAAACACTAGAATAATTCATTTTAACAAACCGATTCCAGGGTCTGAAAATTATTTTCTTACACACTATTAAAGACATGAAATTAAAACAAAATTTAAATCAATGTTTTATTCTATTCTATGAACATCCATATATTGCAATACTCATACTGTGAATTATTTTTTACTTAAAATATAGCATTTGCTATCATGTACAAGCAATCTCTGAATTAAAAAAAATGTTACTGTATTTCTTACAAAGAAAACCTTTAGAGTAATTCACGGAGCTAAAAGCATTTGTGAAAAAGTACGACTTGTTGGTTAACTATAAGAAATTACTGTTTTCGTGTTTTCGCTTTTCTAACACCATTATTGTTTACTCGTTTTGATTCAAGATTAGTCTCACATTATTTTGCTTAAAATAAACACTTCGCTGTTTAACTGAGTTTTTCGCCTCGGCGTGAGCATCTTTCATACCCGAATGCCTTGACGCCGGCGATTCCATTCACGAAGCGCGCGCGTGGTCTGACCCGATTTCTCAAAAATCTACGATTGCCTTCCACAGACATATCTTTCGATCCGCAGAAACAAACAGCTGGGAGAGAGACACTGTTCATAACTCAAGCGATAATAATGCAATGGGGTACACTGGTCTCTGCTTTCCGCCTCTCTGAATCCGGACGCGATGAATGGCAGCGACGATAGCTGCGCTTTGGCTCACGTGTGTCGATGATCAGCGTCATTGTGCAAAGCGCTGAAGCAAAGCACATGCCTGCGCACATGAGGTCTTTATTCCACATGAATGTCAATATTGATATTGGCCTTTAATTGATCCCTACAATAAGAAGTATAATCAAGAATATAATATAAGAAATATGATATAATAAAAGAAATAATATAATATACTTATATGATATAATATATATGATATAATAAAAGACTTAATATAATAAAAGAAAACAAAAGTTAAAAATATAAATGTAATGTTATGTTCTGCTTAATATTAATATATTTAAAAAGTTCAATTAAAATTTTATGTTCTTTTAAATATTAGCATCTTTATGAAATAAGTATATCATATTGACAATTTTTACAGTTAAGAATTATTAAGTTAACAGTTGCAAAGTAATTGGTAATAAATATTCAATAGGATTATTTAAAGATATTTCTTTTAAGATTTTTTTTGCTCAATATAATTATTTTCAAGATAATTTTGATTTTTATCTCTCATCTCATTTTCTGTTCAATCGTTGTTTCAAATTTACCGTAAGTACAAGATATAATATTCATTAAATGGCATAATCATTGTGCCTCATAGGTTGATCCGTGGTTTAGTTTAGTGTACAATGCACGTCGCTGTCGTTAATAACTACATAGTGTGCACCTTTCTAGGTAAATTAACACTTTCACTACTCTAAATTGTTTAAATATTACTTAGTTGTACGCTATTAAATACACGTTTTAACGGAATTAATACGAGAATTCGCAATAACTGTCAAATTTTCTATAAAGTATTTTGACTAAGTTTAAAATTAACAGTTTAAAATTAATTTCCCATTAACTTTCAACAAGACTTATGGTTATTAGTTAATATGCTTTACATTTTTAGTACAGGTTATCTATTCAAACGTTTAGTGACAAAGGATTCGATATGAGAACGAAATTAACATTTCCAGTGCGGTTGAAAGGTGATATTTGAAATATTTGAATACTATTGTAATGTTCAATCGCGTATTGCTTTGATTAAAAAGTGAAATAGGATTTACTGGTAAATTTATATTTTCAATTTTTGGAATCATCAGTATGTGAAAATCACAGAAACACATTTTTAGATAATACATAAAACATTATAGATGTCTCCTTGGCTAAATAAATGAGAATAAATTTGTTTAATCAAACTTTTCTTTGTTGCCCTCTATTACTGTGAGTTGAAATTTATATAAAAATACATTACGCAATAAATGAACAAATAGCAACATTTGATTATACCTTTAACGGTTATTTTTTTAATGGATTACACTCTATATTGTAGTTGCTACACTATGAAAAATGTTCACTATTTGTATAATTGGATTGTCAAAATTAAACTGTTTGATAATTTTTTAATTTTTTTTTTCACTTGGCACAATTAAAGAAAAAATAATTCTACAATAATTCTTTGTTTTACACGGAATTAGACATTTTTCAATTTTCTGAAGTATTTTGTGTTTACACCCATTTTTAAGTGACAGTATTAGTAAGAGGACATTCCACGAAAATAATGTTAAAAAAATAATTAGAATCAAGAAACGTGAAAAAGCTAAGTCAAACAGCCCACGTATATAACTGATTTTTAGTACATTTTCGTCGTTTAAACGAGGAGATAACTGACGATAAATCATTCATTAGCTGGGGAGCCTTGCTTTACCAGCACCCTGAGCAAGAAACAATCAATTAATGTTTGATCATCCAGAAACCAACTGTGTCGCCATGTGCACACATTTAACTCGCAATAAGCTGAAACCGTGCATTTTCTCTCGCGAACGACGACATTCGTCACATCTCGTGATATTTTCTCGCCCGGCACATTCCTACACGCAACTAGCCTCGCGCGCGCTTTAACATAAACGGCAGGTGCTCGGGTGTCCATTACGAAAGAATTCGCGATTCCAATTACCCATTTAAATTAGATTTTTTTTGAGTCCAGCGCAAGGAGCTCGAGCTCAATTTCCAGGAGACGGGGCGCGAAAAAACGAGGGAGGAAGGGGGGGCGGACCGCAGACTCCTACCCACTGAACTGGGCTGTAGAGGAGAGACGGCAGGAGGTAGTTGAGGAGATGTTGTGGATGGAGATTATTGAGTTTGTATGGGTGATTCTAGGGGAACGATGATTTCTGGTGGATGAAGCAAGAAGGACAAAGCAGGTCAGAGAGTGCGCAGGGATAGAACAGAGACACAAGGATACAGCAGTAGCTTGAGAGCTGCTCCAGTGGTATAGGAGAAGACTAAGAAAGTAGTAGTCTCACGATGAGGAGAGTATGAAAAACGGTGGACAGGGCCCCCCAAAAAACAAGATTGACTGAGACCGAGACGTTCACTAGAGCGGCCCGAATGTGAGATCTTTTTTTTTTTTTATTTATTTCCACAGACCAGCATAACTGCTTTACAGGGATTGTTTTCATACAATAACAACTTAAAATATAGGTATACAAATAAATAAGACAGCAGAATACCTTTCATTCAACATTTACATAAGTATCACATTCATAAAAAAATACAATCATTCTTTAGCTAAATAGAAATAAGGGAAGCCCAACAGGTTCCTCTTTACTTTTTGATGTTTTACAAGTAAGTTTGTTGATAACGTGAGATCTTGACGCCATACTCCCTTATAAGTGCAAGATTAAAAATATTTGCTTCGAACAAATATAAGTAAGCTTCAAAATTGCTTGTGAATTTATTTTAAATAAGAATAACAATTAATCGTTTTTAATATATTATTGTAAACTGCCCTTGCAATATACATTTAAACAATTTTACTAGAATGATTTATAAAATTATGTTTTAAATATTTTCCGTTTTTGTAAATTAAAATATAAACCGAATTATTGAAGTAAAATATAAACTGAAATTAACATAAATTAAAACGCTATTGCCATTAATAAATTGAAGTATAATGTGTGACAGAATTAGGAGTTAAAATTAATAATTAATACATATGAATTAGGAAATTTAATGTAGTGATGACGAGGTTACAGAAATGTTGCTTCCTTTCGAGAATGATTTCGCTATCTTATCGGAAAACAAAACTCACAGGTAGGTATGGAAAATTGATAATCTAGGAGTCTGAATATAGTCTAAATGTTTGCTGTTGATCAAATGAAAAAAATCAAACCATACTAGGCCTACATCAAGGTTAGAAATGGTGATAGGAGGAAGGAAGAGATTATGGAGACGGGAATTCGGTGAAAGTAGTAAAGTATTGTAAGAGTAATCAAAACACAAGTCGACTCGGGGAAATAAAGTTAAGGGATGAGGAAGATGGATGGAATAAATTGGGACATGCCGCAGAAAGGTAAGGAGACCTGAGCGCCGAGCGACGTTTAAATAATTAAAGAGATGATAGAGGAAAACCTCAGGCTAGAAAATGAATGACAAGTGGAGCAATGGAAATAATGAAGTAATAGGAGATCCCTTCCTGGAAGCTGTATTACTCATGAAATATGTATTATGATAATATGAAATGAAATTAAGAAAACCACGTTGACCACATTTTAACACACGTGTCTCCTAGAGTTAAAACAAATATCAATTTCTTACAGTATATTTTAATTAGTTTGTTATAAACTAATATTCTTTTGA